CCTTGATCGAGCCGATCGATGGTGGGAGGGGCTCCCCTGCCGAGTACCTTGCTGGCCACTAGCCCTGGAGTAAGCTGGTGACTGAGGTCGACGTCCACGTTGGCTGCTGCTGGTGGCACCCCTAGAGGAGTGGCGGGTTCCCGTTTCGCTGGACGAGGACGATGAACGACTTCCTGCCCCCTGACCTAAGGGCCCGGAGCCCTGTTGGGACGGGTCCACCTCAAACGATATAGCAGCCATCAACTCGGGTTTGGTCCGAAGGCGGTTGATATCATAAATGTTGTCCTCCGTGATCACATGGTGACGCCGAAACTTGATAATGCGAGCGGCCAATTTATCTCCTACACCCGGTAGTAGCTGCAGCTCAGCAGCCGAAGCAGAGTTTATCTTGATTAGAGCCATTGTGCCGGTGTCGAAAGTTAAAGCTCCGATATCGTGCCACACCTGGTAATAAGCCTTAGATCTGGGGCCAGGCACCTCACATGTATACCACCCCAAACAGAAAAACAAAACAAAAAAAACACAGACACCAATAGCCACACTTAAGGTTCCAATGTTCAGAGATAGAGATAAATGTTCCACAAGGAAAAATAAGCACTGCACAGTCAATAATGTAAATGATGGGGCCAGGTGGGTTTCAAGCAACATAAAACACTGCACACTTAATTGGTACCTAAATCACTTGAGGCTTAGACAAAAACTGGGCACTTACTGCACTTGCAAAACTGGAAAATCTGATATGGCAGGCACTTTGAGGAACTTTGACAAGCAATGTGCCTGATTTTCATAAGCACTGGGCTGAGGGTTCTCAAAAACACTTTTTTCAGGTGAACGTGTGGAACTGTGTGCAGGGCGGATCACCATCCACCTTAAATCTGGTATGAACACAAACTCACTGGTTCACTTAATGTATCTCTTTCCCTTGAGCCGTTACTTCTGTAGAAAGCCCAGAACAGGTTACGTCTAGCTAACAGTAGAAATGAGAAAATAACAGACCTGTAGCAAGCACCCTGCAGAGCTGGGACCAGCGTCGCTGTAGTAAACACGCTGGAGACGGATGCGCTCGGGAACGACAGCCTGAAATCCTCCGCGAGCGGATTCGTAAACAATACAGGTCGGGTATGCTCATGAACGGTGGCCCGTATTCCGTGTGAATGGTGGTACTCGTCTCCCCTTCTTCAAAGAACTTGGGGACCGCGGGAATCGGTGCTTGGGGGACAAGACAATAAAATGCAACAATCCGGAGAAATAATCCGTATAAAACACTGATAACTGGAACTTATGGAGAATCTTGGGGGATTGCACGAGATGTGGAATAAAACATATGCACACAAAAAACAGGGGTTGAAATATCTTGGGCACCGCTATTGAACAACGAACCGAAGAACATCTATGGTGCAACCAAAGCCAGTAATTCGAGACTGGAACCGTTGAACACTATCTAAGACGTCTTGACTGAAGTCGGCAGAACGATGATGCAGATATCTTGGCGAGGTCCTCTTGATCACCGCGTGGGAACGTTTACTCACTGCGCCAATGTAGAGGTGACCCACGTGTTACAACAATAGTACAGTAATTCACCTGGAACTGTCGTCGTAGGGAGAGGAAGGGCTGGTAATATTCTCCTCTAGCGCATGAGGGCAGTATGATCATCTAGTGATTAAACTTTCCTCCCACGTGGACACAAGAGCGTGTCCGACGGGGTCCACTTTAAGTTGCCCATATTGTATTGTTGGACATATTTTTATGTCCGACGAACAAATATTTCTATAAAATTCAAATCTTATCTGATCGACTTGGGGATAGTATGAACATGTTTGCCATAAAATTTACGTTTTCTTTAGTAGCCACATAGCCTATTTGGGAGAACGGCACTGTGTTGTATCGTGGTAAGGCTATTGTAGATCGCCGATGTGAGGTAACAGATAACACTTCGCCCACTTCCCACACTCTTGCGGGTAGGCTGCGGTCCTCATTCTTCATTTATATGCATATGTTCGTGTAGGGAATTTTATTGCGTTTTCAAAGATACCAAATTTAACGCTGTAGGACAAGTGTGGAGTTGACAACCCTGAAAAGAATGGAAACATCTCGTCGCTGTTTGGGCTAGTGATCGACGTAGTTTCTTTATTGGTAGTGGTTTAAATCACAGTTTGATGACATTTTATACATATGTTTTTCTAGAACATTCTATTGCGAACACATTGGTACAAAAATGAAATGTGTACATCAAAAATTAAGATCAGAACAGTGAAAAGAGTATACACTTTTCAGTGTTTCCGCTGGATCCCCCGAAACGCCAAGAGCACTTTGAGCTTAGTTTTTCCTTGTTCGCCGGGAGGCTGAAAGTGTTATATTAAATTAATTAACTTAAATTAAATTAGTTAAGAGAAACATGATTCTCTAAGGGAAGTATGTACCTCTAGGGATGTATGCTTCCCTAGCGCTTAAGGGAAATATACTCATTTGGCACTCAAGGGAAAGTATGCTACTTTGTTACTTAGGGAAAATATGCCCTCTTAGCGCCCAAAGGAAAATATGCTCATCTAGCATCCTAGGGTAAGTGTACATCACCAGTGATTCCGGGTAAGTGAAAAGTTCCCCTCCAGTGGAAAGTTGTAGCCAGTATTCCTCTCATGTGGGAAGATGCAACCAATATTCCTCTTAAGTAACGAGCTCCAAACCACATTCCCAGTAAGTTGCAGCCAGCATGCCTTTTATATGAGGAGCTACAGACTACATTCACTTTAAGTGATGTTTACAGACCACATTCATTCACTCCTCATGTAGAGAGTTGCAGCCAATATTTCCTTCAAGTGACAAGTGAAAAAATACACCAAACATTCCCCTCAAGTGCATAAATACAGCAAACATTTCCCTCAAGTGGCCAGTTGCAGCCAACATTCCCTTGAAGTGGATAAATACAGCAATCATTCCCCTCAAGTGGAGAAATACAGCAGATATTCCCTCTAAGTCGGGAAATACAGCCAACATTTCCTATAAGCAGAGCTAAAGCCAATGATCTTCTCAGATTGAAAATTGCAACCAACTTTGCTCTCGTTGCACCCGACGACCTGCCATGTTCTGTAGTGTTGGTGAGAACCACAGCACCGAGGACCCTTACTCAGCCGGAGTGTGTTCCTGTTCCACATTTACTTCTTGTGGTGTTCAGATTGCTGGTGTTCAGATCAATAGATTCACGACAGATGATACGGCAGGCCGATAGACGGACGACATGAGACTCTCCACTCTATTCCGCAATGCTTGGGAGACCAGTGGGGAGTTTGGTGTCCTTTATCTTGGTATTGGGATTCCATTTTAGTGATTGCAAAAAGGGAACAAGAGTTGCAATGATTATTGCATTCAAGTGGAGAGCAATAGTCCGCATTCCTTTTCAAGTGGTAGAATAAACAACATTCCCTTCAAGTCGAAAGTTATAGCCAAACTTTTCCCTTAAGGTGAGAGTTACAGTCAACAATTCACTCAGTTGGGAGAGTTACAGCCAACATTTCCCTCACGTGGAGAATTATATTCAACATTCACCTCAAATGGAGTTACCAACACAATTTCTGTTTTGTACTTGTCTAGTAGGTCAGTGAAACAGTGAGATGAGAGTTACCTTTATACATAACGTTTCGTCGTTTAAGGGATTAATCCAGACTAACATAGCATCACGTATGTCTGCTACAACTCATACCTTCTCCCCATCTGAGGGAAAAACCTCATCTTTTCTTTGTCACATAATATTATTTTATTAAATCAACAATGAGTTCGCAGTTGTCAAGGTTGTCTTTACTGTATACATTGATGCATTACTTGTACTACCGTTGTGTCTCTTTGCTACTTCCTGAATGCACTAAATGCAAAAAAAAACAGTTGCTTTCTCTAATGTCAGTGGAGTCCTCTTGAGGTGATACCCCGTCAACAATGTGTCAACACATCTTGCCTTGACACGCACTGGACCAACACGTTAACTTACCAGCACAACAACATATTGGACTAACCTCAACATGTACTGAACCTGTATTTTATATTACAAACTCACCAACATATCGGACTAACCCTCAACATGGACTGAACCTACACACTATATATTACAGACTCAGCAATTATTAGACTAACACTCAACATGGACTGAACCTTCACATTATATTACAGACTCATCAACATTTTGGATTAACCATTTACATGGACTGAACCTACACTTTATATTACAGACTCGCCAACATATTGGACTAAACTTCTACTTAAACTGAACCTACACATTATATTACAGACTCAACAATATATTGGACTAACTTTCTACATAGACTGAACCTACACCTTATTACAGACTCAACACCACGTTAGACTATCCTTCAATATGGACTGAACCTACACATTACATTACAGACTCACCAACATATTGGACAAACCATCCACATGGACTGAGCCTATACATTATTTTACAGACCCACCAACAAATTAGACTAACACTCAACATTTACTGAACCTACACATTATATTAAGGACTCACCAACAAATTGGACTAACACTCAACAGGAACTGAACCTACACATTATACTACAGACTTAACAACATATTGGACTAACACTCTACATGGATTGAACCTTCATATTATTTTACAGACTCATCAATATATTGGACTAACACTCAACATGGGCTGAGCCTACACATTATAATGCAGACTCACCAACATATTAGACTAACCATCTACATGGATTGAACCTACACATTAATTTACAGACTCACCGATATACTGGACTTACGATCTACATGGACTGAACTTAGACATTATATTATAGGCTCACCAGCATATTGGATTAACACTTTACATGACGGAACCTACACATTATATTACAGATTCAACGACATATTAGACTAACCTTCCACATGGACTGAACCTATACATTATATTACAGACTCACCAACATATTTTACTAACACTTAACATGGACTTAACCTACACATTATATTACACACCAACAAATTGGACTAACCTTATATCGACATTCGTCCGTCAGGGTCTCAATTTCCCAAATATGGCGCGTGTCGTTGGGCACGTGCTGCAGGGTGATGTACTCGTTCGAGGAACTCATGAAGCAATCAATAGTTCTTCTTACCAAGTCAAGAGTCTTAGAGCTGTAAGTTGTTGGAGAAGTGTACAACACTTATTAGGACAGTTTACACAAGTTATTGACAGATTGTACACAAGTTATTGGCAGAGTATTCAAAAGTTATATGAAGAGTTCACACAAGATATTGAAAGAGTGTACACATATTATTGTAATAGTGACACAAGTTATTGGCGAATATTCAAACGTTATTAGGGAATATTCAAACGTTATTGGGGAATATTCAAACGCTATTGGGAAATTTTCAAACGTTATTGGCGAGTGTACAAAAGTTTTTTTTTTTTTTTTTTAGATATATACAAGAGTTGTTACATTCTTGTACAGCCACTAGTACGCGCAGCGTTTCGGGCAAGTCCTTAATCCTATGGTCCCTGGAATACGATCCCCTGCCGCGAAGAATCGTTTTTTCATCCAAGTACACATTTTACTGTTGCGTTAAACAGAGGCTACAGTTAAGGAATTGCGCCCAGTAAATCCTCCCCGGCCAGGATACGAACCCATGACATAGCGCTCGCGGAACGCCAGGCGAGTGTCTTACCACTACACCACGGAAACTGTTCACCACGGAAATATTGGAATGTGTACACAAGTTATTGGAAGTGTACCAAGTTGTTGGAAGAGTGTATACAAGTTATTGGAATAGTGCAAACAAGTTATTTATTACTGTACTGCGATTATAGCCACCAGGCAGCCCTATAGAGTAAGTGTAGCCACCAGTCATCTCAGTACTGTGATTGAAACAAGCAGGCAGCCTGTAGTGTGAGTGTAACTATCTGGCACCCTTATAGTGTGAGTGCACCCACCAGGCAGCCCTGTAGTGTGTGTGTAGCCACCAGGCCGCCCTGAAATGTGAGTGTACAATCCAGGCAGTCTTGTAGTGTGGATGTAGCCACCAAGCTGCCATGTAATGTGTAATAAAGCTGCCCTGTAGTGTGATTGTAGACCCCATGCAACTCAGTAGTGTTCTTGTAGCCACCAGGCAGCCTTGTAGTGTGACTGTAGTCACCAGGCCACCCTGTAGTGTGAGTGTAGCCACCAGGCTGGGCTGTAGTGTGAGTGTAGCCACGAAGCTGTTCTGTAGTGTACCTTGTAGCCTCCAGACAGCCCTGAAGTATGGATGTAGCCACCAAACTGCCCTGTAGTGAGAGTCTAGCCATCAGGCAGCCCTGAAGTGTCAGTGTAGCCACCAGGAAACTTTGTAGTGAGATTGTATCCAATAGGTAGCCTTGTTCCACTAAACATTTTCCCGTTTTCAAAACGTGCTTAAAACGACATTTCATTGTTTTGGGTACGTTTTAAATTACATTTAATATACATGTTTTTAGAATTTAAAAGTACACGTATAAAACATGAGGTCATAACGTTTTAATAAATGTTTTAAATGTTATGCGATAACGTTTTGGAGCAGAAGTTTTTAAAATGATAGTTCTAATTTTTATTTATTGCAATTATTAGGAAAAATTATCTTTATTGCATTTAGAAAAATGAAGAGAGGGAGAAGAGAGAGATACAGCAAAATAGAGAAAGAGAGAGATGGAGACAGACAGATAGGAGAGAGATATAGAAGAGAGAGAGAGCTTAGAGGGAGAGAGAGAGAGAGAGAGAGAGAGAGAGAGAGAGAGAGAGAGAGAGAGAGAGAGAGAGAGAGAGAGAGAGAGAGAGAGAGAGAGAGAGAGAGAGAGAGAGAGAGAGAGAGAGAGAGAGAGAGAGAGAGAGAGAGAGAGAGAGAGAGAGAGAGAGAGAGAGAGAGAGAGAGAGAGAGAGAGAGAGAGAGAGAGAGAGAGAGAGAGAGAGAGAGAGAGAGAGAGAGAGAGAGAGAGAGAGAGAGAGAGAGAGAGAGAGAGAGAGAGAGAGAGAGAGAGAGAGGAGAGAGAGAGAGAGAGAGAGAGAGAGAGAGAGAGAGAGAGAGAGAGAGAGAGAGAGAGAGAGAGAGAGAGAGAGAGAGAGAGAGAGAGAGAGAGAGAGAGAGAGAGAGAGAGAGAGAGAGAGAGAGAGAGAGAGAGAGAGAGAGAGAGAGAGAGAGAGAGAGAGAGAGAGAGAGAGAGAGAGAGAGAGAGAGAGAGAGAAGAGAGAGGAGAGAGAGAGAGAGCTGGAGAGAGAGTGAGAGGTCGCTATCGTGCTGGTCGCTATCGTGCTGGTCGCTAGGAGGCTTCTGCCAGGGGTTAGCTACCCCTGTATATGATTGTTGGAGACCCCGGGCAGCATGTGGCTGAAGTCCTCTGCCAGTGTGTAGCTGGAGAGCGATAGTGGAGAATAGGCACCTCGTGATACTGTGTCGGTGGACTGGCCCACGTATAAGGTGAACTCGCTAATGTTTCTCAGTACGTGTGGACGAGGTACTAGGTAGTGGAAACACTGGGGTTGACGAATACTGCATAGTGTGCGTTTTGTGTGTCGTGTGTGCAAGTGACACTATTGTAAATAAGTATAGTAATAGTCTATTTATTCAAATATTTTATTGGTGAAAGTGTAAATATATTGGTAAAGGAAATAGTGTTTTGTTCATCCCCCCTTTTCTCTATTGCACAATATAACCAATTCCTAAGAGCGTACTACTGACTTGGGGTCGGATACACTAAAAGAGGTTCTTCCATCAGGAACCCGGTTACTGGTCCTAAGTGGCTGTAACAGTGAGTGTAGCAACCAAGCAGCCCTGTAGTGGGAATGTGGACACCAGACAGCAAGAAAGAAAGCGGTTACAGCCCCGCTCCTGTGCCAGGTAAGTCCACTACGGGCTCACCATAGCCCGTGCTACTTGGTACTAGTTCTGAAAAGCTGAATCTAAAACAACAACAGCAAAAAAGTCTGAGTGTTGTCACCAGGCAGCTCTATATAGTGAGTGTAGGCTCTGTTGTTATTGTTTAAGATTCATCTGCAGGGAACAAAAAGTTCCAAGTAGCACGGGATATGGTGAGCCCGTAGTGGACTAACCTAGCACAGGAACGGGGCTGTAATGTGTAGCCACTAGACAGCCCTGTAATGTGAATGAAGCCACCAGGTAGCCCCTGTAGTGTGATTGTAGCCACCAGGCGACCTTGTAGTGTGAGTGTAGTCACAATGTAGCCTTGACGTATGAGTGAAGCCAACAGGCAGCATTGTGGTGTGAGTGTTGCCAACAGGCAGCCTTATAATGTGAGTGCAGCAAACAAGGAGCACTGAAATGTGAATATAGCCTCCGGGCAGCACCTTAATGTGAGTGTAGCCACCAGGGAGCCCTGTAATATGAGTGTAGCCACCAGGGCGCCCTGTAATATGAGTGTAGCCACCGGACAGCACTGAAGTTTGTGTATAGCCACAAGGCAACCTTGATGTGTGAATATAGCTACCAGGCAGACCTGTAGTGTGAGTATAGGTACCAGGCAGACCTGTAGTGTGAGTGTGGCCACCACGCAGCCCTGTAATGCGTGTGTAGCCATCAGGCAGCTCTGGAGTGTGAGTGTAGCCACAAGGGAGCCCCTGTAGTGTGAGTGTAGCCAAATGGCAGCTCTGGAGTGAGAGTGTAGCCACAAGGGAGCCCTGTAGTGTGAGTATAGCCACGTTGCAGCTCTGGAGTGTGAGTGTAGCCACAAGGGAGACCCTGTAGTGTGAACGTAGCCGACCAGGCAGCCTTGAAGGTTGAGTGTAGCCAAAAGGGAGCCTTGTAACGTGACTGTAGCCACCAAGAACCCTTTAGTGTGAATGTTGCCACCACGCAGCCTTGAAGTAAGAGTAGCCACCAGGGTGCCCTGTAGTCTGAGTGTAGCCTCTAGTAGTGCAATAATCTAGTGTATTACTCTAGTAGTGTAATAATCTAGTAGTGTATTACCCTAGTGGTATATTAACCTAATTGTGTAATAACAAAGAGGTGTAATAATCTAGTTTAATAACCTAATGTGTAATAATCTTTTTTAATAACCTAATGTGTAATATTCTAGTAGTGTAATAACATAGTGGTGTAATAATCTAGTAGTGTAATAACCTAGTGGTGAAATTATTTAGTGATGTAATATTCTAGTTGTGTAATAACCTAGTGGTGTAATAATATAGTAGTGTAATAACCTAGTGGTGAAATTATTTAGTGATGTAATATTATAATTGTGTAATAACCTAGTGGTGTAATAATATAGTAGTGTAATAACCTAGTGGTGAAATTATTTAGTGATGTAATATTCTAATTGTGTAATAACCTAGTGGTGTAATAATATAGTAGTGTAATAACCTAGTGGTGAAATTATTTAGTGATGTAATATTATAGTTGTGTAATAACCTAGTGGTGTAATAATATAGTGGCTTAATAGTTATATATAATTTATAATATTTTAAATAAAATCCTAGTGCTTTAAAAACCTAGCTGTGTAATAAACAAGTAATGAAATATACTAGTAGTGAGACAACCTTGTGGTGTAATAACCTAGTGGTGAAATACCCTAGTGGTCTAAAAACCGAGTTTAGTATTAACTTGGTTTTGTAATTCCCTAGTGGTATAATGCACTAGTTGGGTAATAACCCTAGTGGTGTAAGAACCTTGCGGAGAAATACCCAAGTGGTGTAATAAGCTAGTAGTGTAATAACCTTGTGGAGTAATAACATAATGGTGTAATAACCTAGTGGTGAAATAATCTAGTATTGTAATAATTTAGTGGAGTAATAACCTTGAGGTGTAATAACCAAATGGAGTAGTGGTGAAATAAGCTGGTGGTATAATAACCTAGAGTAGTAATAACCTATTGGATTAATAACCTATAACCTCGAAGTGCAATAACCTAATTGAGTAGTAACCTAGTGGTGTAATAGCCAAGAGGTGTAGTAAGCTGGAAGTGTAATAACCTAGTGGCATAATAATTGGCGTAATAAGCTAGTTGTGTAATAGCATAGTGATGAAATAACCTAGTGGTGTAATAGCCAAGAGGTGTAGTAAGCTGGAAGTGTAATAACCTAGTGGCATAATAACCAATTGGCGTAATAAGCTAGTTGTGTAATAGCATAGTGATGAAATAACCTAGTGGTGTAAGAACCATGTAGAGTAATAGCCTAGTGGTGTAAGAACCATGTAGAGTAATAGCCTAGTGGTGTAAGAACCATGTAGAGAAATAGCCTAGTGGAGTAAGAACCATGTAGAGTAATAACCTAGTGGTGTAAGAATCATGTAGAGTAATAACCTAGTGGTCACACACAGAGATCACACTAACGTGATGCATCAAATGAACAAATCCACAAGGGCAGTGACGAGGATTCGAACCTGCGTCTGGGAGCATCCCAGACACTGCCTTAATCGACTGAGCTACGACAGGGTAAAATGGGTTGAAACCGAAGTTGTACTGAACTTACTGGATCCCGTAGCCTTTCCGAGGCACAAACCAGGCTTTTACACAATCCCCCCCCCCCCCCCCCCTGCACCCGAGCAGAATGGATTTGTTCAACCTAGTGGTGTAATAATCTATTGGTGTAAAATCCTGCTGGTGTAGTAACCTTGTGGTGTAATACCCTAGTGGTGTAATAATCTATTTGCTTAATAACCTAGTGGTTTAAAACCTTTTGTAATAAACCAGTGGTGAAATACCCTAGTGGTCTAAAAAACGAGTTTAGTATTATCTTGGTTTTGTGGTATATATAGTATTATACCCTAATGGTATAATACACTAGTTGTGTAAGGGTGAGAGAGTGTGTTAGCCGGAGCTCCTGAGTGTAGTTATATTATCATAGCAATATGGAAGTTGTAGTGAGGGACCTGATGACTCTAGTTGGAGCCCTGAAGACAGAGTTGGACTCTTTACGGGAGGAGGTACTACAGCTGAAACGACAACAAGAAGAAACGAAGGAGACCAGTAGTAAAAAGATCTCGTCTTGGAAAGTTGTAAAGTTCAGGGGAAGAAGAAGACTTTGATAAAGCCGCCTACAGACACCCTAAGAACTTCTAATTCATTTGTCATATTGGAGGACGAGTGCTGTGGTGAGACTGCAGATCACGCGAAAGGGAAAGCAATGAAGCGCAGGCCCCTCAGAGAGTAAAGGAAGTACCTAAGCGAACTTTAGTTGTGGGAGATTCCCAGATATGATATTTGGATAGAACGTTTTGTGCTAAAGATTGTGAATATCAAATAAATGTATTAAAACTATTTCACACAGATAGATATATTAGACGAGGAGGGGAGTAGCCATATATGTTAGGGACAATTTGAAATGTAGTCTCAAAGAAAGTTTTCAAAACTGAGCCACATACAGAAACTATTTGGATGGAATTAAACGAAAAAGCAAATAATATTATAATAGGAGTTATATATAGGCCACCAAATTTAGACAGAATGGAAGCAAAGCATCTATGGGATGAAATATCTAGAGCATCTATATCTAACAGTATTTATGTCATGGGTGACTCTAATTTTAGTGGAATAAACTGGTTAAACAAAACAGGGAATAATGAAGCAGAAGATTTTCTAGAATTAATTGACGATTGCTTTCTTGCGCAACACATTAAGGAACCAACGCGGGGAAATAATATTTTAGATTTAGTGTAAACTAACAGGGAAACACAAATTAAGGACATCGAAATAGGGAGTGAGCTAGGGAACAGTGATCATGAAGAAATCAGGTTTAGCATTGAATGGAATATATCTGTAGGAGAAAATTCTGTTAGTGCCTGACTTTCGAAAAGCTGATTTCAATAGCCTAAGAAATTTTTTGGGTCAAATAGATTGGAAAGTCTTGGGAATAGGGTGTGGGCCTGTCTTGGAGCAAGACGTGAACCCAGCGATAGGTGACGTAAAATGGGTTTTCGATGTGGATTCAAAATATATAACCTATTTAAAAATATTCTAAGCAAAGCCCAGGAATGTAGTATACCATATAAATTGAATAGATTGAATACTAATAATCCAAAGTGGATAACAAAGGATCTGAGGAACCTTATAGGTAAAAAGAGAGCGTGGTACAAAAAGGATTAAGAATTGGGAAGTCAGTTTAGAACAGGAATTCGTACAACTGGTTAGAAATACTAAAAAAGAGATAAAGAAAGCAAAAAGAAACTTTGAAGTTCGCATAGCAGAGCAAGCGAAGACAAATCCTAAAGGGTTTTTCCAGCTATACCGGTTGTATAGCTGGTTTTTCCAGCTATACCGGTTGTATAGCTGGAAAGGGTTTTTCCAGCTATACATGTTGTGTGTCACTATTAAGCTGTACAAGCAGCTGTCATACATGCTGGACATGCAGTGTATCACAGTTAAGCCGTACAAGCAGCTGTTATTCATGCAGAACATACAGTGTCACTGTTAAGCCGTAAAAGCAGGTATCATACATGCTGGACATGCAGTGATTCCCTGCATGTATGACAGTAGATGTCATAAATGCAGGAAATGCAGTGTATAACTGTTAAGCTGTACATGCAGCTGCCATACATGCTCGACATGCAGTGTATCACTGCTAAGCCGTACAAGCAGGTGTCATAAGTGCAGGACATACAGTGTGTCACTGTTAAGCCGTACAAGCAGGTGTCATACAAGCAGGACATACAGTGTGTCACTGTTAAGCCGTACAAGCAGCTATCATACATGCCGGACATGCAGTGTGTCACTGTGAAGCTGTCATACATGCAGTATATCGTTAAGCTGTATATGCAAGATATACAGTGTGCCACTATTAAGCTGTAATAGCAGCTGTCATTCATGTAGGACAAACAGTACGTGTGTCCCTATTAAGCTGTACAATCAGCTACTATACATACAGGAGAGGCAGTGTTTCACTCATAAGCTATACAGATAGCTGTCATACATACAGATAATTAATTCCAAGGGAGTTAAGTGTCCAATGACTTAAATGATCAACATGAAACATAATATTATACCAGACTTTCACACATCAATTCTCTAATGTTTGTGATGACATTTAAATTAGACATTGAGAAAATAATGTAGTAATTTAGTGACCATATTTCAACACATCCTACTGTTCATTGCCTTTGCTGGTCTTACCTGGTTTTTGACTGGTTACATAAGTCGATGAACTTAGATATATCAATCAGACCAAATGTGTCCTCCAATTTATTAATTGACGAAAACCTGAAAAACAAAAGAACAAAACATTATTGAATAATAATTTCTTCCAAACCAACCATAAAGATTTGTTGCTCTTTTGAAATCCCTAATCCAAACACTGAAATGTCAGATTTCTTGAAATATTAAGATATATTTGTTTTGTCCATCACATTGATGAAGACTGGTGCGGGCGAATAGTTTCCTCATGAACCTGGAGAACAGCAGGAAGTTGCTTTAGTACAACTGCCATCAACTGTAGATCAGTCAGGTTCGTATATGACTATTACATTTCCAAGGCCAAGAAGAGAGACGGAGTTAAGATCAAACACGCGACAACAGCACTGCCAAGTGTGAGGTTCAGAGAATCTTACACCAGCACCAGAGCTTTAGTTTGAGGCTCTAGTGTGCGTGTAGCCACCAGGCAGCCCTATAGTGTGAGTGTAGCCACCAGGCAGCCCTATAGTGTGAGTGTAACCACCAGGCAGCCCTATAGTGTGAGTGTAACCACCAGGCAGCCCTGTAATGTGAGTGTAGCCGCCAGGCAGCCCTATAGTGTGGGTGTAGCCACCAGGCAGCCCTATAGTATGAGTGCAGCAACCAGGCAGCCCTGTAATGTGAGTGTAGCCACCAGGCAGCCCAATAGTGTGAGTGTAACCACCAGGCAGCCCTGTAATGTGAGTGTAGCCACCAGGCAGCCCTGTAGTGTGAGTGTGGCCACCAGGCAGCCCTGTAGTGTGAGTGTAGCCACCAGGCAGCCCTGCAGTGAGAGTGTGGCCACCAGGCAGCCCTGTAGTGTGAGTGTAGCCACCAGGCAGCCCTGCAGTGAGAGTGTAGCCAACAGGCAGCACTATAGTGTGAGTTTAGCCACCAGGTAGCCCTATAGTGTGAGTGTAGCCACCAGGCAGCCCTATAATGTGAGTGTAGCTACCAGGCAGCCCCTATAGTGTGAGTGTAGCTACCAGGCAGCACTATAGTGTGAGTGTAGCCACCAGGCAGCACTATAGTGTGAGTGTAGCCACCAGGCAGCCCAATACTGTGCGTGTAGCCACCAGGCAGCCCTATAGTCTGCGTGTAGCCGCCAGGCAGCCCTGTAGTGTGAGTGTAGCCACCAGGCAGCCCTATAGTATGAGTGTAGCCACCAGGCAGCCCTGTAATGTGAGTGTAGCCACCAGGCAGCCCAATAGTGTGAGTGTAACCACCAAGCAGCCCTGTAATGTGAGTGTAACCACCCGGCAGCCCTGTAGTGTGAGTGTAACCACCAGGCAGCCCTGTAGTGTGAGTGTAGCCACCAGGCAGCCCTGTAGTGTGAGTGTAGCCACCAGGCAGCCCAATAGTGTGAGTGTAACCACCAGGCAGCCCTGTAGTGTGAGTGTAGCCACCAGGCAGCCCTGTAATGTGAGTGTAGCCACCAGGCAGCCCTGTAGTGAGAGTGTAGCCACCAGGCAGCCCTATAGTGTGAGTGTAGCCACCAGGGAGCCCTATAGTGTGAGTGTAGCCACCAGGCAGCCCTATAGTGTGAGTGTAGCCATCGGGCAGCCCCTATAGTGTGAGTGTAGCCACCAGGCAGCCCTATAGTGTGAGTGTAACCACCAGGCAGCCCTATAATGTGCGCATAGCCACCAGGCAGCCCTGTAGTGTGAGTGTAGCCACCAGGCTGCCTTGTAATGTGAGTGTAGCCACCAGGCACCCTGTAGTGTGAATGTAGCCACCACACAGCCCTGTAGTGTGATTGTAGCCACCAGGCAGCCCTGTAGTGTGAATGTAGCAACCAGGCAGCCCTGTAGTGTGATTGTAGCCACCATGCACCCTGTAGTGTGAATGTAGCCACCGGATAGCCAAATAGTATGATTGTAACCAGCATGCTCAACTTACTTTGTTCCAATTTGTGCTAAAGCCATAGACTGAGCAGTGTTCACCGTAACATTGATGGGGAATGTTTGTGAACATTGTTCTTCGAGTGACTTAGTGGGGACAAGCAGGAGAAACCTTGTGTGTGGTCGCTCTTGGCACAACCTCCGCAGGGTTGTAGTCTTGCCTGCTCCTGCAAAGGCGTCGATCTTCACAACCTGGACAATAATTATAACATTATTCACAAACTGGACAACCATCTTTAATGTCATTGACAATTAGCATATCTATTATTCTAGGTTTCAGACCCTAGACAACAAATTAAAAATATAATTCATAACCTGAACCACCAGTTATAACATAATTCACAGCCTTACAACAATTATAACATCCTCAAAGTTCAGGCAATTATTATATCATCATTCACAACCTTGACAACAATAATACAATCATTCACAACATGGACGGGAAATATAACATCCATTGAAACCTGGACAACAATTATGACATCATTCACAACATGACAATTATTTTAGCATCATTCACAACCTGACAACAATTATCTGCTTGATTATAATATTACCTGCTTGCAGGCGATGAGTCACAATAACGTGGCTGAAGTATGTTGACCAGACCACACACTAGAAGTTGAAGGGACGACGACGTTTCGGTCCGTCCTGGACCATTCTCAATCGACTTGAGAATGGTCCAGGACGGACCGAAACGTCGTCGTCCCTTCAACTTCTAGTGTGTGGTCTGGTCAACATTACCTGCTTGAATTATATCATTCTTCACAATCTGGACAACAATTATAACATTCTTCTCAACCCGGTACTGTAACTGTACAACCCGGTGTTTACTGTAAGTACACACGTAGTGACGTTACTTATATGACTGTCTTCTGTAAGTTCACAAGTAGTAACGTTACTTATATGACCGACAGTAAAAACACACATTGCGAAGTTACTTACATGACTAGCTGTAGGAACACACATTGCGAAGTTACTTACATGAATGGATCTAAGTACACACGGAATGATGCTACTTACTTGAATGGCTTTTGTAAGTGCACACGTAGTGACGTTACTTACATGACTGGCTGTAAGTACATATATTATGGCGTTACTTACATGACTGTCTTCAGTAAGTACACACACATTGTTACGTTACTTACATTACTGGCAGAAAGTGCAAACTAAAGGACGTTACTTACATGATTAGCTTTTATTTTATGATTGATGATTCTTAGTTGTTCTTGAGTAAGATGAAGAGTCTCGCTGTGGATGACCTTCTGTGTTCTATGTTGACCTGACGCCACCTGCTGCCGCTGTTGACCCACAGACACCTGCTGCAGCTGTTGACCCAACGCCACCTGCTGCCGCTGTTGACCCACAGACACCTGCTGCCGCTGTTGACCCACAGACACCCGCTGCCGCTGTTGACCCACAGACACCTGCTGCCCCTGTTGACCCACAGACACCTGCTGCCGCTGTTGACCCACAGACACCTGCTGCCGCTGTTGACCCTCAGACACCTGCTGCCGCTGTTGACCCACAGACACCTGCTGCCGCTGTTGACCCACAGACACCTGCTGCCGCTGTTGACCCACAGACACCTGCTGCCGCTGTTGACCCACAGACACCTGCTGCCCCTGTTGACCCACAGACACCTGCTGCCGCTGTTGACCCACAGACACCTGCTGCCGCTGTTGACCCACAGACACCTGCTGCCGCTGTTGACCCACAGACACCTGCTGCCGCTGTTGACCCACAGACACCTGCTGCCGCTGTTGACCCACAGACACCTGCTGCCGCTGTTGACCCACAGACACCTGCTGCCGCTGTTGACCCACAGACACCTGCTGCCGCTGTTGACCCTCAGACACCTGCTGCCGCTGTTGACCCACAGACACCTGCTGCCGCTGTTGACCCTCAGACACCTGCTGCCCTGTTGACCCACAGACACCTGCTGCCGCTGTTGACCCACAGACACCTGCTGGAGCTGTTGACCTTCAGACACCCGCTGCCGCTTTTGACCCACAGGCACCTGCTGCTGCTGTTGACCCACAGACACCTGCTGGAGCTGTTGACCCACAGACACCTGCTGCCGCTGTTGATCCTCAGACACCTGCTGCTGCTGTTGACCCTCAGACACCTGCTGCCTCTGTTGACCCACAGGCACCTGCTGGAACTGTTGACCCACAGACACCTGCTGGAGCTGGTGACCCTCAGACACCTGCTGCAGCTGTTGACCCACAGACACCTGCTGCAGCTGTTGACCACAGGCACCTGCTGGAGCAGGTGACCCTCAGACACCTGCTGCCACTGTTGACCCACAGACACCTGCTGCAGCTGTTGACCCCCAATCACCTGCTGTAGGTCTTCGTGATAATTTATTCCTGCAGTTCTCCATCTGTTCTCATACAGGTGTAGTGTATAATTCACCATGTAGTAGTTGACCCACAGACACCTGCTGCAGCTGTTGACCCCCAATCACCTGCTGTAGGTCTTCGTGATAATTTATTCCTGCAGTTCTCCATCTGTTCTCATACAGGTGTAGTGTATAATTCACCATGTAGTAGTACCTGTAAGTAAATCATAGAGGTAGTATATAATACACCATGTGGTAGTTCCTCTAAGATTATCATAGAGAAATTGTATAATACAACAGGTTGAAGTAGCTCTAAGGTTATCATAGTGAAAGAGAATAATACACCTGGTGGTGGAACCTGTATGGCTTTTCATAGTGGTAGTGCATAATGCACTAGGTGGTAGTACTTGTAATGTTATCAAAGAGGTAGTGTATAATACACCATACAGAAGTTAGTACCTGTAAGGCTATCATAGCGGTAGCGTATAATACACTAGGTTGTAGTACCTGTAAGTTATCATAGAGGTAGAGTTTAATACTCCAGGTGGTGGTACTTATCGGAAAAACAACCCCATTTATTAACTTTCAATACATTTGACAAATATTCTTCCTGTTTATTTACTACTAACAAGATAACTCAAAGAAAACGAGATTGCCATGGATTTTTCCCTCAGAAGAACACGAGGAAATCATTGCAATATGTCACCATTAACCTCACCAGCTAATAATATCGTGAATTCTTCTTAAAACATCAGTCTCTGGACTGTAAACATCATAAAAATATTTCCCTTGAACGAACTTAAATTAACTATAATTACTAAAATTGATTAATTATTAACCCTCTTTCTACTTCTTGATAAAACACCATCTGATGTTCACACCAATGTGGAAGACTCACTGCTATGACGCTACTTGTTACAAAAGTCCCTAGACTCTACTTTGTCGGACACTCAACCTGTTAGAACTGTCCCAAGTCCGGACCTGTTACAACTTATTCCATCTGTTACGTCAGATTTCTGTGACGCTCAACTTGACACGTCAGGTCGTTCTGATGTTACACTCTGTACGTCAGGTAACTGTGACGCTACACTTCGTACGTCTGGTTATTTTGACGCAACACTTGGTACATCAGGTATATGTGACGCTACACTTCGAACTTGAGGTCACTTTGACGCTACACTTGGTACGTCAGGTCATTTTGACGCAACAATTGGTACGTCAGGTCATTGTGACGCAACAATTAGTACGTTAGGTCATTGTGACGCAACACTTGGTACGTCAGGTCATTGTGACACTACATTGGTACATAAGGCCATTGTGACGCTACACATGGTACGTCAGGTCACTGTGACGCTACACTTGGTACGTCATGTCATTGTGACACTACACTTGGTACGTCATGTCATTGTGACACTACACTTGGTACGTCAGGTCATTGTGACACTACACTTGGAACGTCAGGTCACTGTGACGCTACACTTGGTACGTCATGTCATAGTGACACTACACTTGGTACGTCAGGTCATTGTGACACTACACTTGGTACGTCAGGTCATTGTGACACTACACTTGGTACGTCAGGTCATTGTGACACTACGCTTGGTACGTCAGGTCATTGTGACACTACGCTTGGTACGTCAGGTCACTGTGACGTTACACTTAGTACGTCAGGACATTGTGACGATACACTTGGTACGTCAGGTCATTGTGACATTACATTGGTACGTCAGGTCACTGTGACGCTACACTTCGAACGTCAGGTAACTGTGACGCTACACTTGGTACGTCAGGTCAATGTGACGCAACACCTGGAACGTCAGGTCATTGTGAAACGACAATTTGTCAGGTAACTGTGACGCTACACTGGGTGCATCAGGTCACTCTGACACCTGACGTTGTGTGATAGGTCATTGGTTACACTGGGTGTCAGGTCACTCTGACACCTGACGTTGTGTGATAGGTCATTGGTTCGTCAGGTCACTGTGACGCTACTCTTCGTACGTCAGATTACTGTGACACTACACATTGTACTTCAGGTTTCTTTGACACTAACCAAGTACGCAGATCTACCCAGTGCCCAGATCATCCCGGTTCCCAGACTAACCCAGTGACCAGATCAACACAGTGCTCAGATCATCCCGGTTCCCAGTCTAACTCAGTACCCAGATCAACACAGTGCTCAGATCATCCTGGTTTCCAGACTAACCCAATGCTAAGACAACCCAGTGCCAAGACAATCCAGTGCCAAGATCAACCCAAGACCCCAGATCAGCCCAGTGCCCAGATCAACCCAGTGCTCAGAGTAACTCAATGCCCATATCAACCCATTGCTCATATCAACCCAATTCCGATATCAACCTAGTACCCAAATTAGCCCAGTTCCCTAATCAAACCAGCACCTAGATCAACCTGGTGCCCGGATCGATCAAGTGCCCAGATCAACCTGGTACCCGGATCAACCAAGTGCTTGGTAAGACGGGCATCATTAATCTAATGTCGATACATCCGTGCTGGATCCCACCCTATGTCAACACAACCTGGAAACATGCCTGGGAATTGAATATTTTACGTCATTAACATAGTGCCAGAGTTTCCACCAACTTGATGGTGGTGACAATGGGAGCCGACCACTTTATAGTTAGATAATAAAGCAGACCCAATCCGACTGTGTTGGACAAATACACCTCGGTAATCACTTTACAAAACTGGGTGAGGCTATGCAAGCGTATTGCCTTTGACATTGGACAGACATCTCTCTCTTTTTTGTATTTAGATTACAAAGGTCACATAATAGTGGAATTCCAGAGACTCTTCTGGTCCCATACCACCAAGTTCGTGAGGGTCACCTTGCTATCCGACATTCTTTTAAAGGGGCAATTCGACAAACCTCATTGCATCTATATAACGTTTCTTATATATTATCCAGATGAGATTACTATTGTTGCTACTATTGTGATCATTTATACTTTTTATCGTGAAACTTCTCACCACAAGAATGACCCGAACATAATAATAATAGTTAACTCACCTTGTTGGAAAACAGAAGTGATCTGTGCAGTAAATCAGAAGGGAAGCTAAGCAGTAGAAGGCCTCTGTGACATCAACATAAGTGAGGGGAGAGTGAGGGTGAAGCAGCAGGTGGACCGCCCCCTCCACGTCCCACACGTCCTCCGACACTGCCAACATCAAATCATTGCTAATACACTTCCCTCACATTATACGGAATAGGTGAATTATGGAGTATATTTCCTTGTCGATATTCAATTAACATTTCCACCTGTATAACATTTATTGTTGCTTATCAGCAAGGATGAGTAAACAGCCTGGCTGTGGAAAGTATTGGCTATCTAAAAACAATAAAAAAAGGCATCTTCCTACTTGGCCCATACGTGACACCTCCTATTTATACTCAACCTAACTCAGTTCGATACATACAGAAATCACTATTCCGTGATATATCAAATGAATAAATTTGATCATAATTATAATGGGTACCACAATCCACAATCAAGGTAAGGATAACACGATCAATGGGATGAGAACGCGAACTAAGGGCAGGAAAACATGATCAAGAGGAGGATATCATGATCAATGGGATGAGAACACGTGCTAAGGGAAGGAGAACACGATCAAGGGGAGGGTAACACGTGCTATGGGGTTTAGAACACAATCATGGGGAGGATAACACGATCAATGGAATGAGAACGCGAAATAGGGGGAGGAGAACACGATCAAGTGGAGGGGAACACGATCTATGGGATTAAAACACGAGCTAGGGGGTGAAGACCAAGAGGAAATGGAGGAAAGCCGGATCAAGAGAAGGAGAACAGGATCGGATCAAAGGGAACTTTGGCAATGAGAGGTGAACAAGAGCAAGAGGAAGAGTACAGTATCAGTGGGACGAGAACCGGAAGAAGAGGAGGAGAACTGCAGAAAGGAAAGGCGAACTGGAGAATGGGGAGGAGAACAGAAGCAAGGGGAGGAAAACAGATGCAAGGGAAATAGAACAGAAACGGAACAACTAGAACTGGGGCAACGGGAGGAGAACAAGAGGAAATGTAGGAAATCCGGAGCCAGGGAAGGAGAACAGGATCAGGACAACGAGAAGGTGAGCTGAGAGGAGGGCAATGAGAGATGAACAAGAGCAAAGGAGGAGAACAGTATTAGTACGAGAACGGGAGAAAGAAAAGGACAACAGAAGAAAGGAGAGGAGAACAGAAGCTAAGGGAGGAAATCAGAAGCAAGGGAAGGAGAACGGAAGCAATGGATAGTGAACAGAACAGCTAAAACAGAAAAAATGGGAGTAGAACAGGAACAGGTGGAGTATAGCAATAGCATAGGAGGAGAAGAATAACAGTTGGAGGAGAACAGAAGAAAGGGAAGGAGAGCAGGACATAGTGGGAGGGAGAACAGAAGGAAGGGAAGGAGAACAGGAGAAAGGGGAGGAAAACATGAGCAATTGAAGGTGAACACGAGCTATGGAAGAACAGGATAAAAGTGAGGAGAACACGAACAACTAGAGGAGAACTGCAGACTTGGGAAGGAGGAGGAAAGAGAACAGGACCAAGTGGAGGAGAACAGGAGCGAGGCAGGAAAATAAATACAATGAGAGGAGAACATGAGCATGGAACACCTACGGAACACAATGAGGGTAGCGACGTGCCAGAGGTTGAAGGGTCTGGGCATGAGCGCCTCCTCCATGTTCTCCAGAGTATCACTTGCCAAGGTGTACAGTCTGTGTCTCTCAAGGACCAACTTGGTGGCTGCTCCAGCTCCTGGCCCCTGCCTGCTTCCCATCATCCTGCAATATTCACAATACTGTTAGTGATCCTTTACCCTTTCTTCTGGCACCTGCCTGCTGCCCGTCATCCTCCAATATCCACAACACCGTTAGTGATGCTCTATCATGCTGCTAATGTTGTCTCTTACATCTACATCTGTTACATCTAGAAAGGGCAGCTTCCCAGCATTCTCCCTCTCCTACATGAAACTCAACACAGAATTCTGCTCGAAAGCCTCCTTCAGCTGCTGCAGACCTCTGACATCAGGTTCCTGCATTGAATGAAGGAGGCATTCGAGAAGAATTCTGTATTGAGTTTCACGTACGAGATGGAGAATCATGGGACGCTACCCTTCCTAGATGTAACAGCCATGGAAATGAGAACAGGCTTCCACACTGCAGTCTACACTAAGGAAACTAACATAGAAATGTTCCTCAGTGCCAATAGTGACTGCCCAGACAGGTACAAGAGAAGTGTTGTCAATGATTACTTCGACTGTGCTCTCAGCCACAGCTCAGGATGGAAGGTGAAGTCGATGAAGAACACTGTAGGGTAAGGCAGGTCCTAGTCAACAATGGCTACTCTAACGGTTTTGCTGAAGACGTCATAAAAAGAAAAGTGAAACACCATGCAACCTCTGAAGAGTCAAACACAACACAACACTTGTACCACCTATTAGACTATTTTACAGGAACTTCTTTTCGAAGGCTCATAAAACAGAGGAAAGAGTCCTGAGAGTTATTGTTGATAGGAACGTTAGCCCAACAAACAAAAATAAGAAAATACAATTGATAATTTACTATAAAACCAAAAAAAACACCCAATCCCACTCATATACATGTCCAACCCGCGCTTGAAACATTCGAGGGACCCCACCTCCACCACGTTACACGGTAATTGGTTCCACAAATCAACAACCCTGTTACCGAACCAGTATTTACCCAAGTCTTTCCTAAATCTAAATTTATCCAATTAATACCCATTGTTTCGTGTTCTGTCTTGTGTTGATACTTTTAATAGCCCATTAATATCCCCTTTGTTGTGTCCATTCATCCACTTGTAAACCTCTATTATGTCACCCCTAACTCTTCGCCTTTCCAGTAATTGCAACTTAAGCTTTGTTAATCTTTCTTCATATGAAAGATTTCTAATTTGGGGAATTAACTTAGTCATCCTACGCTGGACACGTTCAAGTGACCAAAACTGAGTACGGCGACCAAAACTGAGTTCCATAATCTAAATGGGGCCTAACCAGAGCAAGATATAACTGAAGAACCTCACCAAAGGATCTATCCTTTCCCTAATCTTTATTTGATATAACTGATAAAACCCTGTAGGATTTGTTTTTGCGTGCCCTGCAATACGAACGTCATGGTCTCTTTTTGCCATCCTTATCTCTATTTAAACTTTTCTAACCAATGGAATGAATTCTTGTTCTAAACTGCCTTCTCTATTTTAAGTCCTTTTGTAACAAGCTCTCTTTCTTCCTGTAAGGTTCTTCAGGTCATTTACTATCCATTTCGGGTCATTATTATTCGATCTATTGAATTTGTATTGTGTACTACGTTCCTGTGCTTTCTTATAATATTTGTATGTAAGTTATAATTTGATTCCACATCGAAATTCCCTTTTAACATCGCCCATTGCAATGTTCACCTCTCGCTCCAGGACCAGCCCAATAGATTTTCCAATCTATTTCATCCAAAAAATTCCTAAGGCCATTTAAGTAAGCTTTATGGAATTCTTATAAGGATAGTTTTAAGAAGCCGCATCCTACTGCCAGTCTGGAATTTTATATAGGTAGCATGATTAAAGTGGATGATTCTAAGGGATATCAATTAGGTATTTATTCAATAATCGGAGAGACGTTGGTGTGTGTGCGTGTGTATTCATCTAGTTTCACCTAGTTTTGCTTGCGGGGATTGAGCTCTGCTCTTTCGGCCCGCCTCTCAACTGTCAATAAACTGTTTCCACTAATTTCTTTTTCTTTCTTTTTTCCACACCACACACACGCAGCCCAGGAAGCAGCCCGTGACAGCTGACTAACTCCCAGGTACCTATTTACTGCTAGGTAACAGGGGCATAGGGTGAAAGAGCATTGTGCTTTTTTCTTGCTTCTTGTGGAGAGGCCTTCTGCAGTTTATTTAAATTTTTAGTGTCAGTTAATGACTGACTTGACATGGGGGGGGGGGGGAATAAATGTGTTTCAGGTTTAACTAATCTATAAGTAGCTATTTGGTATAAACAAGCAATCTTTGAAAATGGTAATACACATGCGATCACTGAAAATATGATTTAATTATAAATAATTGAAAATGGGTATAAATAAATAATCAATGGAAATGGGATTTATAATAAATATTTATTATAAATCCCATTTTCATTGATTTTCATTACATTTTCAAAAACTGGACTATTTGAAAGATGATTAAAAACTGGCTGATTATGTCACTCATCTAAAATTAGGGATGACTGGAACCGCGCATCACCGAGGTAACTAAAAATGCCCTGTGTTACAACTGTGCATTGTAGGGGTAACTAAAAAGGGCCCGGACTATGACCGTGTGTCACCACGTAACTTAAAACGACCCAGACTACAATCCTGCCATGAGAAAGCTAAACTGGTGATTCAGGTGATCCCCCAGACTACAATCCTGCCATGAGAAAGCTAAAATGAACTGTTATAGTCTTGGTATCCACTACTGTTATCTTACATGACACTACTTATACAGTCTTTCATGGTATTATCCTACTTGATGACACTGGTGATATAGTCTCTCATGGTGTTATCTCACCTGCTGGCACTGGTGATTCAGTCTATCATGGTGTTATCTAAACTGATAACACAGGTGATATAGTCTCTCATGCTGTTATTTTACCTGATGAAATTGGGAATACAACTTCTCGTGATGTTATCTTACCTGATGACACTGGGGATACAGTTTCTCATGGTGTTATCTTAACTGATAACACTGGTGATACAGTCTATCATGGTGTTATCTTACCTTATGACACTGGTAATACAGTCTCTCATGGTGTTATCCTACCTGATGACACTTGGGATTCAGTCTCTCGTGGTGATATATTACCTGATGATACTGGTGATACAGT